GATAAATTCCCCATCTGCAAGGTGGGAACAACATGTAATTTCTCACTGTTTTCACTCCCCTTGCCTACTGTCAGGAAGGAAGACTGCTGCTCGGGACATGTACAGCACTCCTGACAGTGACATCCTGCAGTCAGCTGAAACCTCAAACATCACTACAGTGCTTACAAAAACAGGGCAACATATGGAGGGGAAGAAACATGGACAGCAGGGTCTTGGCAGAAAAAGGTAGTATGCACATCCACTCACCATTAGTCTTGCTAATCTGCTTGCCTGCAGAGGACAGATTTCAGTTTGAGTCTTAAGTCCTTCTGAGATATTATTATGGGCTTCTTAAAAAGCTTTTATTCTAATTTCATCAGATAACATATATTTGAAGGGGAAACACATATTTCACTGCAGACAGGATCATTTTTTCCAAGCAAATAAATATATAAATCCAGGTGAACTAGAATGAACTGCTACAGAGATGCAGCATTTTGAGGGCCAAAAACATTTGAAAAAGTAAGCTACTCAGCCAATAACAATTTTGACACTAAATATACAATTGCCCCAATTATTTCTTTTTTAACAGAAAATGCTGATGCATGAGAAAAATAAAAAGAGAGTTATTTTCCTTTTTTTTAAAAACTTTCTTTGAAAATGTTAGACTTAGCTGTTATTAATTCTGACTGGCACTATCTGGGAAATGTTTTTAATGGAGTAACACAACAAGCAAGTGAATCTTTTTGAGAATAGAAAAGACTGAATTAAAGCCAAAGGCAAATCCAAATTTTCCTTTTAAGTGGAAACATCAGATTAATTTAAAAAAAAGCTAACATTTTAACAAACTTTTTTTTAACCTCAAACATATTTCTATTACCTCACTATATATATATTTTTATATTTAATTTCAACAAAAGCTGCTCTTGAAAATTTTGCCATTTCCACATTTCCATGATTCCTTCCAATCTGTATTACTAAGGATCCATTTCTTCCATATGGCAAAGCAAAAGCAGAATAATAATCGAAGGTGCAAGTGAAGCACACCTAGTACAGTCATATTCACTAACAGCCACTTCCAGTTCACATCCAAAGTAAGCAACCACAAAAGTAGCCAACATTTCCCCCACAAAATACTTCTATTTTTGTAATAAGCAATTTCACCATGGCAACAGATTTTTGCTGTTCTGTTAGATAATTATGATTTCAGAATTGTTTGTATATTGTACTGGCTTCTTTCTTTCTAATGAATATTTGTGAAATCTTGGATGAATCAATAAAACCACACAATATACACTCATCTATTCAAAATTTTCCAAAGAGATGCTAATCTACAAGTATATCATCCTTATACATAGTATAAAGACTGCTAATGTGAATGACAATATATAATAGTGAAAAGATAAAGTTTATTTCAGACTTAAATTTTATGTAGGTTTTATACTAGCTTTTTTACTCACAGATATATTTTACCCAGATCCATAAATCACTATCTCCTAAGTCCTGCAAGAACAACCAGCTAAGCAATCATTGCCAGACAGTGAAGAGCTACAATATTAACTGTACAAAATAGCTAGGTATTTGGGAGGTTAGTAAAACCCCAAGAAACCTTAAACACTATTTGAATGGAAAAAGGATTCTAACCAGAACAGGTACAATGTTTTTGAGGAACCAAAGTACCACTAGCTCAAAGTTTTACTTTGAAAGAAATGAATCTGGGTTTTGGGTTGGTTTGGGAGGTTTTATGTTCTGAAGCAAGAATCTGATCTTCTTACACCATTATCTCATCAAGGAAAAAAAACTAACAAAAAATAACACACCTTTACTGTAGGAAAACAATTTAGCATAAAGGACACAAATATTGGCATATATGGTT